ACCAAAAAGTATTACTATTATTATTTATTAACCAAAACTGGTATCCTCAGCCCCTGTCCAGTGACAGATAAAAACGTATTCTGTGGCCTTGCCATAATAACACATGGCCACAAGATAAATAATGTGTCACCATGAAATTATTTTGAGCAACATTTCTCCTTGTGAGACATACAGATATTGTTGAAGTGAATTTTGAATATATTGTTTTTAACTGTTCAAAGGTGGCCTACCCTACACCTATTATTATTTGGTGTATGTTAATATAAACTGTTCATCTTTCATGTAAAGAGATCTATGAGATCACAAAGAATACCCAGGTTGTGTTAGGAAACAAAAAAAATTGAATGTGTTCCTGAACGCAACATAACTCCGAGTTATTCTACAGCTATGACACAGTGTGAGGGAGGAGCCTGTTTTGAGCATTGAGCTTCAAAGAATAAACTAAATAAAATTTAGACAAATACAACTCCAGGCATAACCTGTGTCTTATAGCTGCAACGTATAATGTTAAGAATTACACCATAACTAACATAATGGACTGAAGTATGACATTCATTCTTATATTAACAAACTTGTCTGTGTTAATAATTAACAGACTGCAATAATTGTCTTATGACCACATCATAATAAATATGTGGCCGCAAGATTTAATTTTTTTTGTCCAACAGGATGGGCTTTGTAGGTACCCACTTTTCTAAAAACAAATAAGTAAATCAAATTGGCTCTAAGAAGTTTTATATTACACTAATACAAATATTTCTCAACATACCCTTTAAATAAATAGTCTTGTTTTATTTTAAAAAAATGGGGCACACAGTTGTTTATTTGACACACATGGACTTTGACATGATTTGGGTTATGAGTAAATCTAAAACTTGCTGACCTCATAATTGAGAGGCAAATAAAAAAATAAATATATATTTATATATCATTCCATAATTGGCATGGCCGCCTCAATGTTAGCGATTGTCTGTTCCTCTCCACTCGACAGAAGATAAAAAGCAGCAATCAGCATCACTAGTTGTACAACCACTGTATTCTCCGAACTGCTGGGCAGAGTTGCTGACTTTGCCTCTAATCACATGCAAATGTACAAGGCAGATGTGAATGTTCTGTCATCACGAAATGGGGTGGAGGGGTGTGTGTGTGTGTGGGGGGGGGGGGGGGTTTTTTTTTTTGGGGAGGAAGACCACTTGGTTAAGGACAGTAAATTCAATGTCTGCCTCATTTAGCTTTAACTGTGGATTTCTGAGAAAAAAAGTAGTTTTTGGCCAGCAACATGGGATCTATAGTGTAATCAACCAAGACACATTACATGGAGTGGGCAGCAACCAACCGGCTCCAATCCTTCCAGATAACCAATAGTAAACATTGGTTCACTTTAACAACAGCTGGAAATGACCTACCATCAAAGATTTCCAGCTCATCAAACTGACGGCTCGTCTGGAAGTGTTCAATAGTGAAAGTGATGTTGTAGCTAGGCTCTACTTTGACCACCCAGGAGCAAGACTCGAAATGGGGGAAGCCACTGCCTGGTGACTGGCTCATGATGACGCCCGTGGAAGCTGTCAGCACCTCGTTCATGGGACAAGTCACTGGTGAGGAGAAAAAAAGAAACAAAAAACAAAAAAGCTCTTATTTCAAAGGCTTGAAACAATGATCTGTTTTTGTTTTCCTGGTATTGTTTAATGATTGCAGATCACGTCTGTTGCCTGTTTCGTTCATTATAGAGAATTCAATTTACCTTGAAGCATAAATTGGATTGTTTAGATTCATATTGTTGCCGGGGAGTAACTCGATGTGACTAAAAGCGTGCCCAAGCTAATTGTCTTTCCTTCCTGGACTCCGTCACAGAAAAACAAAGCTACGCATGCTAAGTCATTCTGCTAAACAGCTTATACGTTATATAATATCAGTGACTAGCCATAAGCACATTCCCTCTTCTCTGCCTATTGTCCATGTGTGACAGATGTGACGCTAACTTGGCGGGTAACCCTCTCATCAGCCTCGAAGGCCTTCATTGCTGTGGCACATCTGAGCGGTTCACATCCATCCCTTCATCGCATCCCCAGCTGTCCCTGGGATTCATGCAGGACATCTCAATGACATCCTCGGTGGAGAGGCTTTCTGACAGTTTCGGCCCGTATTGTCAGACAGTACGTGGCGCTCCTGTCTGATGTGTTTTTATAAAGAACAGTGCCTTAATCTGATGGAGTTATCTGTACTGTGGAGCTCACTAGAACACGCTGTACCATGAAATGAGCGATATGTTGTGACACAGTCTAACAGCTACCCAGTTGTTTCTTCTATTGCTGAACTCGTTTAAGTTTTGCCAGCAGTGAATTGCAAAACTGGACTAAAAGTAGCAGAATGCAAAAAATTACTCCTTGTAATGCAGAAAATACATTCTTTGCAACTCCCTTTGAAGCTAAATGATTTCTACATAATCCCTTCAAATTACTGTTTTCTCTTATCCAACAAGACATAGTCAACTAGATTCTAAAGGAGCCCAGAATTGTGTTAGGATATTTAAACTGATCAGATAGTCAAATTGATACCATCCCTGGATCTTAAGAATGATTAAAGGAGACACATCATGCTTTTAAGTCTTTATTTTTCACATTTAAACTGTCCAGTTGGGTCTATATAAAGTGGAACTGCAATGTTTTGATGTGGATTCCTCCTTTTTGTAACTCCACAAGCCCCTCTTTCACCCCTTTTCTGAGGTGTGCCTCAGATGAACTCATTTTGAGGCTGTCTCTTTAAATCGAAAAGAGGTGCTTCACACCCCGTCCCCTTCCAGCTTCCAGAGCAGTCCATTCTAGTTTGATAAAAAAGATTTTTGACTATATATAGCAGCACACAGGAATTTTTTTTTTTTTTTCACTAAACGACATAAGATATTTCCATCCAGCCTCACATGTTGGAGCCAAAGTCTGATCTGGAGCCAAAGGAGAAGGAAGACAAAAAAAATGTAGTTCTGTCATGTCCGTGATATAATAGTTCATAGAAAATAGGGAAAACTTAACAAGTTGAAAAATATGACTCTGAATAGAATACGTATAAAGATAACTACCCAGCACCTGGAGAATCAAGTCAACTTTTCTGCACTCAGAGACTCCAAGTACACAACAAAATGGATTTAATGGCTAAAAAAGTGGATTTTGCATATGTTCCTTTTAAAATTAACAAAGTACAATGCCAGTCTCACTGGAAACATCACGTTTACCTTATTTCAAAGAACCTAGAGCTTTACTTGTGATCATAAAGAAAGAAAATGCGAGTAAATCAACTTCAAATTGCTCATAATGAGGTTTGTATTTAAGTGTTTATCAAACAAGAGTGAGAAAAATGTCTACAGGAAGATTAAAATACTCCTGCTGCGAGCCATTATTTGAATACTTAAAGCTTTTTTTTATTTAGCCTGAGGGTAAAGCTGAGCTTGGCACTTGCTGATCCTTCATTAAAGAGTAGAAACACTGAATGATATTCATCTTGTTTAAGCTGAAACTTTTTTTTTTTTCAAAAGACAGTATCTGTGAGAATCAACTTTTTTTCGTGTGGATGTAAGAGACCTGTGTGCATAAGCAGTCCCAAACTTCAGTGCAGCAATTCTTCTGTCTTGTGCCTGATATAATAAAACAAGAACCTTTTTTTTCTGTCATTTATCTTAGAAGTTAAGTGACAGTGAGTTGCTCTGATCCAGAAGACATTCACCAACTCTGAGAAATAATTTACAGCCTCAAGTACCTCAAGGATGTGAGTCAAAAGGTTTAAATCCATCAGTGATAGTGAAACTTACTGAACCTGGAAGTGGCACATAAAATATAAGAGTCAAGTTCATTAAACGATCAATTCAGCGAGGATGAGATGTGTGTTGTCAGTGACCTTTTAGAGAGCTACAGTGTGTCTTCAAAACTGCCTTCAGTTTGTCTTGGAGCAAATGAAAAGTGTATGTGAGTGCTTGCATGTACGTGTGAATTGGTGTGTGTGTGTGTGTGTGGGGGTGTGTGTGTGTAATACAAAAGCAATTCAAGACCACCTTTTATCTCATAACTTTTGACAACTGTAAATTCAAGTTAGCATTAGCATCTGAACTTGAGTTAGGCCTACATTGCCATTAGCCATGCATACAACMACAACACAACAGCCGAGTCCCATCGCTGAAAAGTAAATTTTATTGTAGCTTTTTAAATTTCTTTGTTGGCTTTTTTACTTACTTTTGCATTTTATTGCAGGTTTCAGACCACGGTTTTATTGTGTTCCTGGACCACATGAAAGGTACAGTTTGAATTTGCTGGTACTCTAAAGAAAGTTATTACTGTCAATTTTAGATTATTTTGGAACCCAAATGTTTGAAATTGGGGGGAAAGCATTTTTAAAAATGACATTGTGCAACATATGTTCCAAGWTGTGTATTAAGACACATGCAAAAAGCATTGTTGCGTGTCAAATGTGATGATCAAATGTGGGTTTTCCAGATGCAGCAGGATGTTTAGTAAAAACTTATGTCACTGTCCRTCATAGGTGGCAACGAGCAACTTGTGTCTGAATGGATGATCAGCAATGAAGGCCATATCGATTTTGAGGGGGCCCAGCCAACATTTGTGACAGGATTTGCAGCAGTATTTGTCACTTTCTACATATTTAACCTGCAATATGAGGCAGCTGAGACTTTGGAGTTCATTCARAGATTAAACTACTCCCATGATTTTATTTTTGTAATTGTTTTGAAAACATTTTATGAGTAAAATAAAAACAATGACAAGATGGGAATCTATAAAGCAAGTTAAAATTAACAGTTGACAAAATTGTTGRCAAATCATTATAATATATTTAAAACCAGCATGATTTTTTTCAATGCATGTACAGAAAACTTTTTTTATTACCTTCATCTGCTGCATTCAAAGTGCTACACTTTATATTCTCCAAGTTTCTCTATTTTTTTATTGTGTTTTTTAGGGGCCCTATTAGTATTAACCCAGAAAAGGGCATGTGATGGGCCGAGGTGAAACAGGAGGAGTCACAGGAATTATTAGAAAAATAAGGTTTTATTTTAACCCAAAAAAATTTACTTACAAAACCAAACWGAGCTCATAAAAGAGACCAACATAACAAAATGAACTCAGGCAAAAATGTGRCCAAAATGACTGCATAACAAAAAAAACATAACTTCTGACACATGACACACAAGGGTTTATATACACTCTGGCTGATCAGACCATTACAACACATGAAGGCTAACACAACACAATACAATAAACTAACTACAACAAAAATACACAATACARTTCAGTTTGCTAATAAACTAAATTCTAAAGAAGAAAATCAAACATTTTAAACTCTAAATGTAAATATTCACTTAAACACAAAAACCTGTTTAAACAAAGAAATACAAGAAGAAAAAAATTGTATAGGTCTTCTGGACGGGTTCTTCTCTAAGGCAGTGGTTCCCAAACTTTTTATATTCTGACCCACAAAATATTCATGGCAAAAACTTGTGACCCCAAATATTACTGGTCTCAGTACATGAAC